GCATCATCAGTTTGTCAGTGAGAAGTCACCTGAAGTTTAGCATCTGAACACCCACAGAAGTGCCAGAAGTCACTTTAGTGATCAGCTAAAATTAATAGCAGATGTAATGCTGAATTTATGAGTTATTTCAAAGCCTAAGATAACTCCTTGAAAATGTTTGATTCTAGTCCAATAGATTGTAAAATATTAAATTTACAGAGAGTTGACAGCTGGTGTTATGGAATCACTCTTCATATTTGAAACCTGTCCTCATATGCAGGCACCTTGCTTCTTATAAAGGAAGTGGGGAACTACAGGCTTTGATTTTAAAAAGAAAAAGCATTTTAGTTGGTTTAAAGGAATAGATGCATTCTCTGAAGTACGAGTGACTCAAAGCTGGTCTTTCAGCAGAAAGGGGTATGTTCTGTTTAGTCATTAGTGAAATACACATAGACTGGGGGAGTAAACAGCAGGCTTGACAATGTCTCTGTCACCAGGAAATTGGGTACACCCACATGAAGATAGCAGAAGGTGTGAACTCCCTGTTACAAATGGCTGGGCTGCTGGCCCGGCTCTGCCAGAAGACTGCAGCCCCTGCAGCCAGCTAGGCACCTCCTCAGCCTTCTGGGGGGAAACCAGGATTTGCTGCAAAAATGTTTCATACTTTTTTATTTACTCCAATAAAGCTCTAAAATTTACTTTAACCCACAAAATTGTATGTGTTTTATAAGCAGGACAGAACAAAGGCCTGTGACAGTCCAGAGCAATTGAGGTCTGTCCAGTGCACTCAGGAAAACTGCTTATGTCCTTGGTATTGAGAGCTAAGCAGGAGAAACAAAAATGGAATCCTGTTGTTAGGGATTACACTTCAAGCCTGGTCATGAGTGATCTTACCAAGACCAAGAAAGAAATTTTTTTTGCACAAAATACAGCATTTACTGAAGTTATAATTGAGACACATTGAGCAAGTGCCTCTTTGTCCTGTGCATAGGGAAAGTATTTTCAGCAAACATACAGGAGAAATATTACACATTTCTTAATGTTGCCACTATATTTTGGATATTCCTTTTGTAATCTTTAAAAAGCTTTACTAAGTTCTGGGATGCTCTGCATTTGAGTTCCCTTTCCTGGTAATGTCACAGTTTCAGTCTGCCAAAAAGCTACAGAATTGTGTTTGCCTGTCCAGTTTTGGAGACACCTTGCCAGCATAGATGGACAACTAGTGTGAAATGCAGAAAAAAGTAAATATAAATTGAATTTGACCACCTAATATGAGATGTGAGACTTGTGTCTCCAAGCAGATACATTTTAATATCATTAACAGAATCACAGAATGACCAGGTTGGAAGAGACCTTGAAGATCATCAAGTGCTGTAACACCTCAACTAAACCCTGGCACCCAGTGCCACATCCAGGGTTGGTGACTCCGCCACCTCCCCAGGCAGACAATTCCAGTGCTTTATCACCTTCTCCATAAAAAACTTTTTCTTAATATCCCACCTAAATTCCCCTTGGTGCAGCTTCAGACTGTGCTCTCCTTCTGTCAGTGGTTGCCTGGGACAAGAGCCCAACCCCAGCTGAGCACAGGCACCTTTCAGGGAGTTGTAGAGTGATAAGGTCACCCCTGAGTCTCCTTTTCTCCAGGCTGAGCACCCCCAGCTCCCTCAGTGGCTCCTCACAGGGTTTGTGCTCCCAGCCCCTCTCCAGCCTCGTTGCCTCCTCTGGACGCGCTCGAGCGTCCCAAGGTCCTTCCCAAGCTGAGGGGCCAGAACTGGACACAGCACTCCAGGTGTGCCCTCAGCAGTGCCCAGTGCAGGGGCAGAATGACCTCCCTGCTCCTGCTGGCCACACCATTGCTGATCCAGGCAGGAGCCATTGGCCTTCTGAGCCCCCAGGGCACTCTGCTGGCTCATGGTCAGTGGCTGGTGACCAGCACCGCCAGGTCCCTTTCTGCCTGGGCACTGTCCAGCCACACCATACCCAGCCCAGAGCATTGCAGGGAGTGATTGTGGCCAAAATGCAGGGCTGGGCACTTGGATTTATTAAACTGCATCCTATTGGACTCTGCCCATCCCTCCAACCGTTCCAGTCTCTCTGCAGAGCCCTCCTACCTTCCAACAGATCGACACAGGCTCCCAGCTTGGTGTCACCTGCAGATTTACTAATGAAAGACTCAATCCCCTCATCCATGTCGTCAATAAAAACATTGATCAGAGCTGGTCCCAGCACAGAGCCCTGAGGGACACCACTGGTGCCTGGCTCCAGCTGGATGCAGCACTGCTCACCAGCACTCTCTGGGCCCATCCAGCCAGGTCTGAGCCCAGCACAGAGTGCTCCTGTCCCAGCCATGGGCTGCAGCTTTTCCAGGAGTGTGCTGTGGGACACAGTGTCAAAGGCCTTGCAATTAAGCATGGTCTAGTTACAGCAGTCACACAGAAGAGTGCAGAGGCACAAGTTGCTGGTGCTTGCACTTCACTCTGCCCATTTTGTTGATGATTTCCACCCCAAGTGTTCAGTTCCCCACTGCAGCTGTCTCAGTGCCAAGTGGATGTTTCCTGGCAGCACCTGCTGGCCTCAGCCTGGGGGCTGGTCCTGCACCAAGGCAGGGGCTGGAGGCACCCTCCTGTTCTCTACCAAGCCAAGGGAGTCACAAGTTTCAGCAGCAAGAGCTGGTGGCATCGTGACTTTCCCCTCAAGTATTCCTGCAGCTCCTCTGGCAGAGCCTGCAGGCAAACATTTGTGATTCAATGTGCAGGAGAGCAAGGGAATTGGCAGCTGAAGTGCAGGGAATGCAGCAAACAGCACCTGGAATAATGGATAAAATGCTTAAAGTGCATTCTTGCTTCACTAGAATTGAACTTAGGCTTTGGTTCCCACCCAGTGAGTTACTATCAGCACAAACTCTATTAAACACACAACTAATAGTTCAATACTGCAGCTTGAGCTGCTGAGTTCTCTACAAACACAGCATCACAGCTTTTGTCCCCAAAAATATAAATAAGGTTAATTTTCCTTTGACTGCACATCACAGCCAGCCTACTCTGTCCTTGCTTTCTCATTAGATGTGTTCATTGGAATGGGGAAGGAAGAGATGTTACCATGGATGTCTCATAAAGCAGCAAGCACCATATTTGGATGACTCAAGGCCAGTCCTTACCCTGTGAGATGTGCCTGCCCACAGGGGTGGTGCCAGTGGAAGGGTGAGGAACATGAAGGGGCAGGTTCCTGTTCCTACCTGGTTTCAGAGGGTTTCTTCTCAGCTGTATTCAGTAGCTGCATTTCACAGCTCCAGTTTGGAGCAGACTCCCCTCTGGGCTAATCCTTTCCAGCTCTGCAGGGACATAATCACACTCACTTTTCCTAAGAAGAGGACTAGTATTGATCCCAGAGGCCACCAACACCTCCTGCTCTCACAGGTGTTTGTTCCCCCTCTTAGTGCAGAGCTGCTGCTTTCCAGCACTCAGCACAGACTCCCCAGCTCCATTTTCACAGCTGCACCAGCCAGAACTACTTTTCTAAAGCACCTTAAATTGAAAACAGGAAGTGAATTTCTCACTTAACTGCCTACCTAATGTGGAGAGAGGTAGACCCAGGGGATTTTAAGTCTCCTTGCATTAGGTTCAAACAACAGTGTCCAGCAATTCTGTCTGAGCACCAGAAACCCTTGCACACCTAAAGCCAGGCCCAAAAGGGCAGCATGTCAGTGAGCACACAAATCCACACTCAGTCATTGCAGAGAAAAACTGAGGTTGTTCAGAGCCAGACTAATAACATTATTGATGGGAGTGCCTGAAACAGTCCCTGGATGCCTTCCAGTGTGAGATGATTGCCTGAGAAGTGCTCCAAAACCTTTACAAAGGGTTTACACCTCACTACAGCTGACTGCTCTGGAGAGCTGCAAGGGGGGATTTGCTCAGACCCCCAGTAAGTGAAGGGAAGAGTTTCCACATCCAGTTCTGCCCTACCTGCTTTGGCTCCACAGCATTTAAACTCAGGCTTTGGCAATGGAAGATTGGAAAATTGTACAATTTTCTTGTACCAAAAAAATCTAACTGGTGTAATCTGCCTCCCTGCTTAGTGAGGAGAACAATAATCTTGTATTTTCATGTTCTGACCATGCACTGACCTAATGCCTAGAACTTTCTGGGAGGCCTCCAGCTGGATCTGTTGCTGTGTGCCAAGGATCTGTCACTGCTGCTAATCTCCTATTCATGAATGGCTCCCTTGGCTGGGAGATGAATCACCAGTGGGTAACAGCACCAGGCATCACTCACAACGAGCTCACTCTCTGTTCCCTTGCAGTGAGCAATCCACAGGCTGCAGCACTTCATGGAAAGTGGAACCTTCTTCAGGTGCTGAGGATGAATCCAAAGGTCTCATAGCCACGTGAGGTCCAGGCACAATTTCAGTGACAAAAGCACCCTTTGCCTGTCACTGTCTGTGCTGCTGGCTCAGGGGGACCCTGCTGCCATGCACCTCTGCAGACTTTTTGCAGAGCATTTTGACCATCAGGAAACCAAAGGGTGTGAGGAGAAGCTGGGCTGGGGTGAGCAGAAAACCAGGCTGTAGCCCCCTGCCTGTGTGCATGCCTGAAGTGCACTGATCTCCTCTGTTGTAAAAGTCCTGTGGAAACTTGCAGCTTTTGTAGGGACCACGAGCAAACCTTCACCTGAGCCAACTCCAACCCAGCCACTGTTTCAGCCACACCAACGGTGGGCACCTGTGGCCTCTCTTGGTTCTGCTAAAATTGGAGCCAGTCATCTGCAGCAGGAAGCACCTGACATCCCTTCTCCCACAGCACAGCTCTAACCCCAGCTCCCCCTCTCTGCTCACTCACCCTGAGTGTGGGCTGGGCTCTTTCCTGAAACACAGCTTTCTGATCTTGAAGAAGAAGGCTTCTAATGCATTTTCTCCCCTTAAGTTCCTACACATCACTCCATGTCACCTCATGTTCTCCCATTTCTTTGTCACACAAATGTCTATCATTGCAAACCATAGCAAAACACATTTTCTTTGGAAGCTTTTCAGTTTTAATAAATAAGTATTCCAGATCTGTACATCAGGGCTCAGGAGACAGGGATTCTGTTTCTGGGATGATGTTCCAACAGTTGTATTGAAGGACTGGTGCAGTTTCTGAGGCTGGTGGATCCGAGTCTCACAGTTGCTGCTGGTTCTTTGTATCATTTTAAAACAGATACTGAAACATGAGGAAAACTGCCACAGACCAACACTGTGAATTACATGCCCATGGATAAGCAGGCATTTAATCCTCTTTAGCTGTTGTGAACAGGTTGGAATCTCATTCAGCTCCAGACAGCCACTGCTGTTATAAACACCACCTCAGTTCCTCTCACATAGGAAACTGCTTCTGTAGGAGAGCACAGGAACTAAATCAGAACATAATCCCTCTGGTTTAATACACTGTGCATGAGTCACCCTGACAAATTAAGTAGCTGGCTGCATTACTGCTCAGCAAGTTAAGGATTCATTTCATGCCTGCCAGGAGAAAACATTTCCCAGACTGGCCATCCTTGAGTGGACACGCAGAGAAATGAGATTGGGATGAGGAGCCTGGGGCTTGCCCGTGGTCACTGGGGCAGAATGCTTCCTCCACTTGCTGGTTTGCAGTTGGATTTCTGTGGGGCTTCAAGCAGTGCAGTTCTTCTTTCAGTAACACCCCTTGTGTGTCACTGCAGGCACAGTTTGGGGAAGAGATTTCACTGAGGGATGGAAACCTCCCCTCTCCCTGTGCGCTTGTTCGATGGGTGCCCTCTTACAGCTCAGCAGAAGATTTCTTCAGACTTCATGCAGAATACTTGAAATAAGAGGAGAAAAAACAGTGAGACCACTGACTTTTAATCCCTGCTTTCAGCTTAACTCTGCTGCCTGCTACATTTTCTTTCCAGGGACAAGTAGTGACATACACTGCAAAATGCCCATGTCTAAGCAGAAACCCCAGTTGTGCTCCTGGAGGAGGATCCCTGATCAGAGCAGGAGGCACAGAGGCACCAGGAGCCCATTTCTCAGTTCAGCCTCCCTTGGTGGAGGATTTCTGCTGGCATTTGTTGGTTGGACATTGAGATTAGGCTACAACAGAGGCATCATTATAATGGCAAAAAGATGCCTGGCAGCAAGATAAGGTCAGGTTTCTCAGGATGGCTTTTTCCAAATCCAGCTACATCCAGCAGAGGCAAATGCCCTAGTGTGCAGAATAGGATGACAGCTTTGCATGGTGGGGACAAATCTTAGGTATTCTGCATGGCTTCAGAAAGATCCAATTTTGGGACAGTCTGGGGAGTATCAACCCCTATAAAACTAGAGCAGCTGGCACGTGGCATAAGGACAATCCCACTGGGCCTCTGTAGGTGCTCAAGAGGGTAAAAACCCATCAAGGAGAGTGATACTGGTCCCAGTCCATCTTGGAGTCTGGAGCAGGGTAACCAGCACATCATTCACTGTCCCTCAGTGCCATGCACCCTTCCTGCAGCTCTGCAGTTTTTTTACTGTATCTGCCTTGGGTAATTCCTCATCAGCAGCATCAGGCTGGTGCTGATGGTGGGGAGGATGTGTGGTCATGACACAGCAGCAGGCAGGGCTCAGCTGAGGGAATCAGAGCAGGGGTTTGGGTGTCCCTGCCCACAGCATGTGGCAGTGCTGGCTCAAGGAGCCCTGGAGCAGTTTGGGGTTCCTGTGCCCATTGGAGGAGGGCAGTGCTGGAGCTGGGACCTGGCCTTGGACAATTTTGTCTCTATTGGTCCCTGTTGGTCAGCCTGGCACCAGCCAGAGGTGAGGCACTGCCCAGGGTGGGCTCCTCACACTCCTCACTGCCCACGGGGGCTGCTGTGCTGGTGCTGCCAGCAAGGGCAGAGCTGCAGCTGAACTCCCTTTGGCATAAACCAAATCCTTCCACCCTAAATAAACACCATAAACCAAATCCTTCCACCCTAAATAAACACCATAAACCAAATCCTTCCACCCCTAAATAAACACCATAAACCAAATCCTCCCTCCCCTAAATGAGCACCATAAACCAAATCCTCCCACCCCTAAATACACACCATAAGCCAAATTTTCCCACCCTACATTACCATTTACTCTGTTTCTACCTTTGCTCTGGCAGCAGGGCAGGGCCTGACCCAGGCCCTGTGTTGATGTAGTCTGGCTCATCATCCAGGCTTTCTGTTGGTGGGGCTGTGGGTGAGGATGAAGCATTTGTCAGTGAGTGGTGTAAGAACACACAGTGTAGAAACACACAGACCCCTGACACAGCAGGTGTCCTGCCAGGATTTAGCCTTTGCTGCTGACATGTTTTTGTGCCTGGGCTAAGAAAACTCACATCAGTGTCAAGGTCTCCTTGAAGAGGCTTCAAAATTATCACAGCAAATTTGCAAACACTCTGGGCAGCTCATCAGAGCCAAAAAAGAGAATGTGCAAACAGGAATCACTTTGTTCAGACAACTTTCACACCACAGCTCTTACATATATATGTGTACACTCCCCACTGTCCCCCAGGGCAGAACTACCCTCATGCCTCACAGGAAGCCACACATTAAATGAAACTTGTTAAAAGGTCAGCTTGAGAAACAGGGCCCCTGACCACAGCAGGAGAGTCAAGGGCTGAGCCACTGGGTGTGTGCACAAAGTTCTGTGGCACAGGGGATCCCACAGCTGGGCCTGTGCTGGGGCAGCCTCAACTGTAAGAGGATTTCAGACCTGAAGAGCAACATTTTCCTGCAGCATCCCCTGGTCAGGGTTTGGGCACAGCCACCCAAAAGGTGCCTTTTGAGGATGACAGACACCACATCCCAGCAGAGCAGCATTCAGCTACAGGAGTGTGTTACAATTTGCACATTGCCTTGGATGTTTATCATGGAAACTTGGGGAAAAAATTAACTCAAGGATGATGGCTGCACTGCCCTTGCATGGGCTATACTGGCCTAGTGCTCCAGGCACTCTGCCCATAAGCCCCATCCCCAAACAGCAAATAACAGCTGGGAACCTACCTTGCCCTTTCTGGAGCTTCCATGTGAGTATTGTCATGCTGTTCTCATAGTCCACAGCATCATCTGTGACAGGGAAGAGTTTGGACAGGACAACACTGAGCAGCAAATGGACAAAAAAGGGGCTCTGTGAAACCCCTCCTGCCACTGCCCCCATGCACGTGGCTGAGCTTCCAGCCAGCTCAGATCTGCTGCTGCTGCTGCTGCCTCATCATTTCCCAGCCCTGGCCACGTGCCTGGATCTCTGCAGGCAGGGATGGGGATCAGACAGGTCCCTGCTGCTTCTGCCTCCTCTAATCACTCTGCACAAAGCCAGGCAGGAGCAGGGCAGCCTTCAGCAGTGCAGAAAGCCTGGGTTAGCTCACAGAAGGAAACCAAACTGACTTCCTATTTTGATTGCAACACCCCAGGACTGATGCTGGAAGCCCTGAAGGGACACTGTGGTCCAGTGTCACCCTCTACAAGCTTCCTGGCTGCAGCCTTCTTGTGCTGGATTTGGAGAGAAACCTGAGCCAGGGGCCAGAAATATAATCATCCTGGCTAAAACAACACTAAAGATGCAGACCCCAAAGCTCCTGAATTGCTGCAGAAACCACCAAGTCAAAGGCACCAGGGTGGAGGTATCACCCTGTGCATTTTCCTGCAGAAAGGGGAAATGTTCCAGGCCTGCTCTGTGCCTGCAGCAGCCCCTGTGTGCCAGCTCCATGGACAGAGCTGGCAGGAAGAGCTGAGCTGGGAACAAGCAGGTTTCCCTTGGCTAAGCAGTCACCATCCTCCTCTGCACTTGGTGTGACACACAGGACCTGTGGCAGCAGCATCCTCACCTGGATCAGAGCCCTGAGACACTCCAATGGTGACATTTTCATAGGAATAGGAATCCTCATCTTTCTCTGGGGGAGAGAAGAAAGAGGAGTCACAAAGGATCTATGGAAGTGTAAATGACCTGGGAAGATCCCTCAGCACCTGTGGGCTGTATCCCACAGTGAAATGGAGATTACCTAAAAAATTGTCACTCTTGGTGACAGCCTGTGGCGACCAAGGGATGGAATTGGGTGCACAGGAGCACAATCACCAATGGTTTGGGGCTGTCCTGTTTCTAGGCAACAGAGGGACTGATGGGGGCTTGGACATCCCTCAAATCCCACAGCTCTGCTGCACCCTTTCAATGAATGCATCCCCTGGAGCCCCACTTGCTTCAGCCATGCATGGTGATGCACAGAGCTCTCAGCAGCTCCTGGAGCCCAGGGACAGCCAGGCTGGGTGAAGGAACCCACCTTGCTTGCCTGGAGACCTCACACGGGGTGGATTGAAGAGCCTGCTGCAGTTGTAGTAGTGATCCAGAGCCATGGGCTCCCTGGGAGGAGAGCAGCACTGTTATCCCTCCTGCCCAGCTCAGGCTCCCCAGGCTGAGCTCTGGGAGCACCAGGACACCACTGGGGCCAGGATGGCTCCACTGCACGGTGCTGGCAGCAGCTCAGGGTACTTACACATAGGCAGTGTCTTCCTGCAGGCAGCTCTCTGCAAGAACAAGGGTTTGCTGTCAGCACCCCACCATGGCATCAACCTGAACCGCTGGGCACAGCTGGACAAACCCCCAGCACAGCTGGACAAACCCCCCAGCACAGCTGGACAAACCCCCCAGCACAGCCACAGCCCCAGAGCCTGCCCAGAGCAGGGCAGGGAGCACAGGGAGGGAGCCCTGATCCAGCCCAGCTCCTGGGAAAACCCCGCTCTCCACCTCTCAGGGACACATCTTGCCAGCTGGCAGGACATGGGGAATGTGCTCCCTGGCTTGGGGAAGCAGAGCACAGCCCCACACAGCAATAATCCTCTTAGGGTGAGCAGCAGCTCACCCTGCCCTGGGAGGGAGCAGCGGGCTCGGGAGCGTCCGCCCCCCTCTGCCATGCCCTTAATCAGATCAGATGAGATCAGCGTGTGGCTCACAAAGCAAAGCAATCTCTAAATGGACCGAGCCAGAGCTCTGCCAGCTGCAGTGCTGCCTGCCTGTGTGCTCCCTGCCAGCCTCCATCCCCTGGAAATCCAAATGTGCTCCCTGCCAGATCCCATCCCCTGGAAATCCAAATGTGCTCCCTGCCAGCCTCCATCCCCTGGAAATCCAAATGTGCTCCCTGCCAGATCCCATCCCCTGGAAATCCAAATGTGCTCCCTGCTATATCCCATCCCCTGGAAATCCAAATGTGCTCCCTGCCAGCCTCCATCCCCTGGAAATCCAAATGTGCTCCCTGCCAGCCTCCATCCCCTGGAAATCCAAATGTGCTCCCTGCCAGCCTCCATCCCCTGGGACCCCCCATCCCCTCCAGCCTTCCTTCCCAGCCCCCCAGGCATGGCTGCAGCATTTACCTGCCAGGAAATTCTGGTACCTGGGCTCGTCCCTGCTCCCTGGGGACAAGAGAGGGACACATTACACATGAGCTCAAGCTGAGTGATGGCAGCAGTTTGGCAATGGAGGGAGGCACCAAATATTTCAGCAGCAGCAGCTCTATCCCCTCAGCTCTGAGGTCAGGGGACACAAATGCAAGGTTGGACACTCCAGGGTACAGGAGTGGGACAGCCAGGGGTGGTGTTTTAAACAATCTGTGCCTGTAACCAGGACTGGTCAGACACAGCAGGATGAGCACTGGGCTGTAAACTCAGCCCCAGGACAGACCCAAATTAAGATGGATGTGTAGCAAGTCCAGGGGAGTGCACAAAGCTGCTCCAAGGGCTGAGCCCTCTGCTCTGGAGCCAGCCTGGGAAAGCTGGGGTTGCTCAGCCTGGAAAGGAGAAGGCTCTGGGGAGACCTTTAAAGGGGAGAGGGACTTTGGACAAGGGCTGGGAATGGCAGGACAAGGGGGAATGGCTTCCCCCTGACAGAGGATGGGCTTAGGTGGGATATTGGGAAGAGGCTTTTCCCTGTGAGGGTGTGAGGTCCTGGCAGAGGCTGCCCAGAGCAGCTGTGGCTGCCCCATCCCTTAAACCACCCAAGACCAGGGTTTGGACAGGGCTTGGAGCAAGCTGGTCTAATGGAAGTGTCTCTGCCCATGGCAGGGGGTGGAAGGAGATGATTTTAAGCTCCCTTCCACCTCCAACAGCTCTGAGGTTCATTGTATCTGTGCCTGGCCCAGGAGGCTGCTCACCATATCCAGGGTGATGGGAAGCACTGAGCTCCTTGGTGGCTTTACTGAAAGAGAGAAAAGAGACCTAAAATGCCAGGTCTGAGCAAACCCTAGCAGCAGTTACACACCATCAGAAGGACCACCCATGAAACCTCCCTGTGAGGCTATCAAGTACACACATGGAACAAGGGGGGATTAAGAATTTGGAGTAAAATCCCAAGTTGGGAATAACTTTGCTTGAATATTGCAGCAAATAGAGTTACAATGGCAGTGAAGTTATTGGGGGTTTGGGTGATGGGGAGAAGGGGATTTATCTCACCAAACTGCTTGTAAGTGAATAATGGCCATTTCTTTTCCATGATGTAGCTGTTATGTAGAGCCACAGCTCACTCCCCTGGGTTTGATTTAATCAGTTGCCAAAAGAATGCAGCCAGACTGAGCAAAATCCAGAAAAAGTCCAAATATACTATTGACCATCAACAAGTGAAGAAACCCAATCAAGTTGAAGATGTCCCTGCTCCTCACCAGGGGTTTGGACTAAATGACATTGAAAGGTCCCTTTCAACCCTATTCTTTGATTCTAAATACAGCCCAAGCCATATCTATAGAGCCCAGAATGCAATCCCAAATGTTCATCTATGTTGGGTGAATTTCATCCAACCTTGGCTCTAGAGCTAGATTTTATTTGGGTTTTTTCCTACCTTGCTATTGATAAGTCCTCAGGTTCCTTACTTTTTTCCAGCCTTCGAGTTGCAACTGGCAAGCACAACAAAATTACTGTGTTAAGTATTATGGCAGCAGCAGATGTGTCAAAGAGCACACAACATCCACCAGAGAGGGATCCCTGGGACTGACAAGCATCTTCCCAAAATAGCTTCCAGATTGTTCCTTCAACGTTCAAAAATGGTCAAAGCAATGAACAACTGGAGAAAAAGCTGTGCAGACCACAGAGCTTGCAGACACTGCTGGAGGAAGCTCCAACCCCAGCTGCTGCCCTGTCACCTACAGTCCCCAAACCTGCCTGATTTGGGGCCATTCCCTCCCTCCACACTGCAAGGGGCAGCCAGGGTTTGGCCAGGCTGGGATGAAAGACTTGCAGGGGGGTTGAGGGGCCTGGAGCCAGCAGAGCCCTTGGGCAGGGCAGAGCCATCTGCAGATGGACTCATCCCACAGGGACCTGGCAGCTGCTCCTGGCGACACAAAACTCAGAGTTTCAGCACTGAACCCACTGCAGGAAGCAGTGAGGGGGGTGATGGGTGAGTCACTCTGTCACCCACACCTTCATTCTCACAGGGTGCCCTGCATGGTTCCAAGAGGTGTCACTTTTCAGCAACATCACTTTAATGAATTATTTTCGATGCAAAGGGCACTTTTTAAACCAGAGCTCAGAATTCACACAGCTAGAAGCATCTAAGGTGGCTTGGACACTCCAGGTCTCATCATTGCCTGGCCTGGCCTCAAGGTGACCCTTTAAACATGACTTTCCCCCTGTTGTGTGCATGCAGGGCCCTCACCCCACCAGGCAGGGGCCACATGCAATGCTCATACTCACCGGTGTGGGATCGAATCACCTCAAATCTCGGCTGGCTCTCGAGCCTGGAAAAAACAGCAGTACAAGCTCAGCTGAATTTTGGGGTTTATGGCAGGGAAAACAGACACAAGGGAGCTGAGTGGTGAGTGGAGGGCAGAGAGCACCAAGCTGCATTGCTCAGCATGTCATGCAGGGCCTGTATGAGCTGGGAGCATCTTCCTGGACTCTTCTTTGATCTTTTAAAGACAAGATGTGGTTTTGGAACCACTGGTAGCAAGGGAAGGATCCAGGGATGAGGAAAACATCATTTAGGATAATTCTCATAGGAAAACATCATTCAGGATAATTCTCATTCTGATGCTTCAGCCACCAAAGGCCAAAAGAACCATTTTGCCCACAAAAAAAATGGATGTTCATGCATGAAATGGCTTCAAACCCCACTGCTGCCTCTGCCCCTCCCATTATCCCTTATTATCAACATGAATAAAATAACATTATCAATGATAACCTATGCCCTGGAACCTCTTTACTTTTTAGTTAATAGAAGAGCTGCTTTTCAGAGCAAAAGAGAATTCAACACATTTTCTACTGCAGGTGTTTCTACACAGGTACTTATTAATTCCAATTTTGGAAACCCTTTCCCCCTTCTTCCTTGGGGTTGCCCCATACCCAGCTGGGATTCATGGCCCAAGGCTGTCAAAAAACCCAAACATGGAGTCAAACCATTTTGCTTGCAAACCACACTTCCCAAAAGAGCACACAGCCCCACAAACCTGAGCCCAAACCACCCAACCCAGGTATAAATTTCAAGAAGTTGGGACAATTCAGCAAGAGTCCATGAGGGATGGAGTCCATGAGGGATGGAGCCTTCAGTGGCTGCTCCATCACTCTGCAATGGATCACTCTGGAGCCTTTCCCCACAGAAAGGTTCCCAACCCCTTGGAGGCCTTGGCAGAGCCACATTGCAGCTCCTGTAACAAAGCTTACAACCAAACTTTTCTTTTTTTAACATCATTTACTGTGGTTTGTCTGTTGCTGAAGGAAACCAGGGGCAGTGCGTGTGTGTACACTGCATTTCCTTCATTTCTTGTGCTGCAGGTCAGTGGTTGCTCTGGTACATGGTCCAACCCACCCCAGCCAAGGGAAGGGGCTTCTTTGTGGAGTAAATAATCTTTCCATCTCATCTCAGGGCACAGCAGAACAGGATAAAAACTTGCCCTTCTCTCCCAGACCTTTTCCAACTAGTTAATGATTCAATGTCACCACAGACTTTCATTTTGGATTATTCTCTGTGAAGGCATTGCCCCTTCAGCAGCACCTTGGGCTGGGGCACACAGCCTTGCACCCCATCCTGGCATTATTTCACTTTATAAAAACCCAGATTTCAGCTTGGGTCTGGCTCTGGGGCTCACCCTGGGTGATTTGTTTGGGGGAGAAGCACAACTGGGAAAGGCAACTTACTGGCTCCTCCGCTCGTTCAGCTGTGCCTCCCGTTCGGTAGCTGGAAGACAAGGGAACAAAAAGCTCTCAGAAAGGATGATTTGGAGTTAGAGATCAGAAAGGCCAATAAAATGCATTCACAAAGCTTCTTCAGCTCATCAGAGGCAGGGAGCAGCAGTTGCAGTAGGGCTTTGATGAAATTCTTTTAAACTATTATTTGCTTTGCGGTTTTTGTCTCAAACCCCACAGAGCAAAGCAGCCAGTCCTGCCCCCAAACCCCAGACTGCAGCCTCCTCCCCATTAAAACCCACCCAATGCTCAGGGAGGGGCTCAAACCCCAGTGGGCGCTCACCCAACCCTCTGTGTGAATTCATCCTCCAGACTCCCCTTCCCTGCCTGCCCTTCTGCCCAGACCCTGCAGGGTTTGTGTCACTGCAGCTCATCCTCAGGGGGAGTCCCAGAGCCACCCACCACCATGACCATGCACAGGGATCTCAGAGCTACACCTGCCCCAGGGAAGGGGGGCTGCACTTCGGGGTGCTCCTTCCCTCCTGGCTCCGTGGCAGAGCCTCTGCTGTGAGGCTCCAGCTCTGGGAGCAGCCCTGGGGAAGCTCATGAACCTGCTGGGGAGAAGGCAACAGCAATACCCTGGAGACATCCACTCCAGGCACTCCCCACAGCTCAGAATGATGAAAGATAAATACTGTGCCCCACAGTGCTCTGCAGCTCTATGTTAATTTATCCTGGTTTTGTCCTTCCCATTGGCCTGCTGGCTTTCCCTGCCCCTTTTCCCCAATATGTTCATGTTCTAGAGAGTTCTCCCTTCCCTGTGTTCCCACTGGTTTGTGTAACCCCGCCCATCCACCCTGGCATTCCCTATTGATCCCTTCCCTGGATTTATACCCTGGACTCTCCTGTGTCTGCGTCTTTTGTTCCAGGACCCCTTCTGAGTTACGTGCTGATAAAGTCTTGTTGGAACTCCACACCTGGACCTTCCTGTGTCCTCACTGTTGAGCTGCTTCATGTGTCTGTACGTCTGTCTGTGTGTGTCTGTCTGTGTGTTTTTGCTGGTACTCTTGTGGCTCACACCCATTGGCACAGGTGCTCTTGGTGAAGGTTGTGCCCACCACCACCACCATGGACCACAGCCCATCCCCAGAAGGGCAAAGCTGAGCAGACCCAAACCCACACGGTTTGGGGGGGACATTCCAAGAGGGAACTCCAGCCAGGGGTGGGCAGCACTTACCTGAATGCTGGCACCTGATGCAGAGGCTGACGGCCGCCCCGAGCAGCATCAGCGCCGCGGCCGCCCACAGCTCCAGCTGCAGCATGGCCCAGCCAAATCCAGCCTGAAACACAGCCAGGGGACCCCATCAGCTGTGGGGGCACAGGGGGCTGTGAGGCCATCCCTTGTGGCATTCCCATTCTCTGAACAAAATCCCTTTGCCCAGGATTTTTCTCCTGGGAAGCGTCAGAGAAAAGGAAAACAATTCTGATCTCATTTGCTTCTCCTGTGTTTTGCTCACATGTGGAATGTGTTTGGAGATCGTTCACCCACAGGAGATTGTTCCATTGCATTCTGCTGGGAGTTGTTTTCACTCTTTGGCCAATCAGGGCCAGGCTGTGTCAGGACTCAGGAGTTTTCATTATTATCTTTTTAGCATTCAGTAAGTATCCTTTCTGTATTCTTTAGTAGATTATAGCATTCTTTAATATAATATAGTATAATAAAGTAATAAATAAATTAGCCTTCTGAGAACATGGAGTCAGAGTCATCATTCCCGCCTTGCTTGTGGCATTCCCTGCAGATACAATAATCCCTCAGAGAGCTTTCAGCCCCAAAAGCCAGGTGCTGTTTGCCCTCCCACCCCCAGGGAGCTGTGAGGATGCAGAAGGGGCTGTGGGCCTGTAGCACAGGGCAGCAGAGGTGATGCCCTGTCCTGCACTGCTCTGAATCACTCATTCCCAGTCCCCAAACCCACCCTGCTGCCATCAAACCTGTCAGCAGACAGAAATCTTTTGATATCCAGAAGAGAGGGCAAAAGGGAGGCACTTGGCAATATTTAAACAGCCAAGACCTTTGCACAACGTGTTCTGGCTCTTTCCTGCAGCTCAGAGGGACTCCCAGTGTGAAATTCCCCACTCCTTTTTCTGCACTGAGCTGGCTCAGTCACTGGCTCTCCCCTCCTTTCCATGACAGGCTTTTTCACAAACAGCAGCTAACAGTTTTTAACAATCACCATGATTTGGCTTCAACTTCTTCCTTTAAAATACAAAACATCCTACACATATCCCAGAAAGCAGCCTGCTGGCACTGAGATGGACCATTTACCCATTCCTATTCCCTGGGGTCAGATTTTCTTTAGTTACAGATTATTTTAATTTATTTTTGGTTTGATCAACTTTCTGTTTTCCCTAGGGATGGAGACACTTCAATGTGCCAAAGGCCAGAACATCAGGAAGCTTTCCTGCTGCCTACCTTCAACCTCTCTTATTACAACTTTAGCCTGTATTAAATTGGTGAATGGAGGAGAAAAGACATATTATAGCAATTGATAATTAAAATAATCCAAAATAACCAAACAAATGCCAGTAGCAGAAAACAGAAAGCAGCAGCTTGATTCTGCCCTGCTCAGCACCTTCTGCCTCTGCTTGATTAAAGTGGAATAAACAACATTTCTCTGCCCAAACTCAGCAGAAGTTTGGAAGTTGCTCTGATAGCTCATTCACCTTGGAGAAAACCCAAAGCCTCCCATGGCAGCTGAGCCTGTGGGGGCTGAGCAGCTTCCTCCAGTCCCTGGAGCAGCAGCTGAGGGTGCTGGTGGGAGCTTTGTGCTCCAGTCTGCATTGAAGCCTCAGCCCTGTGCCACAATCCCAGTTACCAGGGCAGGGTGAAAGCAATCCTGGTGTAAATCAGCATGGGGCAGGGGAAGGAGAGGAAGGAAAATCCCTCATTTCCACTCAGACAGACCTTGGGGAGAGCCAGCAGCAATGGCTGAAGGGGTTTGGTGCCAGCATCTTCCCAGTGGTTCCCAAGCACGGCCTGGCTGCCCAGGGGTGACCTCACCCTTTGCCTGAGAACAAACTGGGCTTATTCCTCTTGAGTTCCAGGTTCCCTGGGCTCTGCAGGACCTGGCAGCCACCAGCACTCACTCCACCCTGGCTTTGCCTTTTACAGGCCCCCAGAGGCCCCTCTTTCCCTGCACTTTTTTTTTTTTTTTTGCAGCACTTTCTGAAGAAGATGAGTTATTCCAAATTTAATTTCCCAGACCTCCATGCACCCACCCCAGAGATCCAGGACCAGAACCCAAAAGAGCCTAGTCAAAACCATGTGGTTTTTCCCATCATTTTCCCTTTGCTCAGCATCCTCCATGGAAATCATGAGCTGTGGCTCATCTCTAAAGCATCTCCAAGAGGCAGCTGAGGGAAGTTGGTCCAATGCTGGTGACTAAAATACAAAGGGCTGCAATGCTGCTGCTTTGTGGGTTTCCTGGCTTTTTCTCTTTCTTTTTTTCTTCTTTTTTTTCTTCTTTTTTTTTTTCTTTAAAGTGAAAGCAAGGCAGAGCTGAAGACACCTGACAGCCCTGACCTAGTTTGTCCTGTTCATGGCAAGCCTCCTGCTCCCTTCCAGAGCCAGTTTTATTTTGGTCACGGGCAGTGAGGCAGCAAAACCTGTCTGCTCCTGGGCCCAGGGACACAAAAAGTGGATATTTGAGGGGCTGATGAAGAGGACAGGCTGTGTCCCACCCCATCACAGCTTTATGCCCCAAGAAAGCCCCCATGTCTCACACACACATCAGCCCAGAGATCATTTGTGCTCCCCAAACACCCAAGCCCATGGAAAATCCTTCCTTTTGGTACAAGCCCTGAGCTGACAGAAGGAGGTGATGAACAGATTTATGACAAGCAGAAGGCTGGAAGCACTTACTCACGGCTAGCAGGATATAAATAAAATATTGGGAAGGCTGAATGTGCTTCCCTGTGCTCTGCCCTGGGGAGCTGCAGAGCAGAACCAACAGCCCTGAGCCATGGAGGCCTCTGCACAGAGGGAGGTGTGCAGTTCATGGATGGCCAGCCCTGCTTCCAAGATGCTAAACTGGCACAATTTCACTGCACTCTTTAAAAAAGTATTGGGAACTTGTCTTCTCCCATGTAGGAGTTCACAAAATCAGAGGGTTTTGGGAAAGCTGCAAAAGGCAGGCCCCAGAGGCAGCAGAACTGTGATTAGAGCTGAGCAGCAGCCATGAGATTGGTCAGGAGAAAAATTATTTAAACTATAAAAAAGCAAGAACAAATAGAACAATGGTCTGTGTATTAACACTTGTCTAGAATAGCTCCCTAAGCTACAAAATATTTATCTAGCAAGATATTAAGAAAGTTAAAGCTCAATAATAGAGCTCTGTGTGTTGTGTTTTAAAGCTTAAAAATAAGTATTGTATTCAAAATAAGCATTGTTTTAACCAAAAGTACATGTGCTTATAGTAATTAGATAAAACTGTCAATATGCTTTTGCTTTGTGTAATTAGTCAAAAAACTTATAAAATAAATTGTAACATTAAATTCTCAATCTGCTGCCTAAAATGTGAGCTACTAACATCTTCCCATTGTCATAACCATGTAATAAAACGAAATGCTAAAAAATAAAACAGCTCAAAACACATTCCACACCAGTCCCATCCCATTGTAATTTGTGCATAGCCCCCTGCCAGCATCCTCCTGTTTGGTTGGGGAGGGACACTCGGGCTGTGTCACCATGCCCTGTTCTGTTCATGCACTTCTCTCTCCTCCTTTTGCCTGTTTTTCCCCTTTTCGTGCTGAGGAAGGCAGTGGGGACCAGGGCACAGCCACAAATCCCTCAGGAGCAGCTGCTCCAGACAAGCAATTCCTGGGAGGGTCTGGGCACAGCTGTGCTCTCCCCAAACAGGGGCTGCTCCTTCTCTGGCCTCAGATATTCTTAGCAATCAAGGAGACAGGCTTTTTCTCGCTTAAAAAAACTGGGAAAATTAATGAACTTGCAGAAGTTTATCTGCCCTGTGCCAGGTCTTGGCCTAATTTAAGGATTCATCCCAGTAATAAGGCTCACTATGAAGATCCAAAGGAAGGAGAGGTGGTTTCATCCAGGAAGACTAAAAGGTCTCCTGCTTTTAATTGCACTTGAATGGAGAGTAAGAGGACATGGACACTCATTGTCCATCTCTACAAGAGCAGCACAACAAAGTGAGAAAAACTTTTGAATTGAAATAAGGCAATTCTGGCTAATAAAATGAGTGGCTATAAGCTGGATATGCACAGGCTAGAAATAAAATTCCTAATGGATGGAAAGCCTGGAAGAACTTCCCAAAAGCAGCAGAAGAAGCACAAAGCTCACTAAAAAAAAATCTGCAAGAGCACTTAAAGTGAACTTTATCTCTTAGCTGAGAAACCAGGAGCGTGAGGAATGTGTAGATGTGGCCTCAGCAATGCCTGGTTTTCCATGAGATGATTTCTGATGAAGACATTTTTAGCTCTTTGCAGATGTCAAGCCCACGCCTGAGTTCACATTGCAAGGTAAAGACTAAAATAATGTATTTATATTATGTATTTAATGTATTTATATTATGTATTCCATCTATCAATCAAAAAATGCCCAAAAGGCAAATATAAACCAGTCAATTTCTCTCCCCTGCAGAAAGTTTTGCGGTGTGCACCAGTTTGCAGTAAATTAATTCTAATTCAGGCTGGTAGGATGAGTCACTGCTATGAAATATGAAGTGGAGAGTGTATTTAAAGACTCACCATATGAAATTCAGCACACTGACTTGTTGAACAGATGCAATATTCAGCTTGAGTCGATGTCTCTAACGTGTCTAAGAAAAGCAACTCCGCTTTCTGTTTGCTTGTGTGGCACAGATTGCCACAGAAAGTCCCATCAATTCAGTAATTAAAGTATCAGACCAAGGAATCTCTGCTGTGGCTGGCATGGCTCCAGTGACCAGCACTGAGCCTTCAGCAGAGCTCCTTTCCAGAGCTCTGCACATCTCATTTCCCACCTGGTTCCAGTGTCAGGCTTCTTAGGAAAGCTGCTGCCATGGAGTGAAAATCTGGGTTTTTACAGCTATTCAGGCAGATCAGGCTTTCATGCCAATAGATGCATTTCAGTAAAACTTATGATAAAAGGGGAAAGTTGGAATTGATAAACCAACTTTCACGTAGATTATAACTTTGGAAAATGCTTTTTGAAGACATTGGGTGGAAAATACAGTGCAAAACCCCGATCACACCAGGCATGGCAGCACAAGAAGGTAACTCACAGACACATCTTGTATTTGTAACTGTTCCAGGCAGCACTGAAGCCTCCCAGCATCATTCACTTCCCCTGGGAGCCCAGGGGTGCCATGTTAGCAATACAGGAACCCCTGTGTAAATGCAGATTCCAGAACCACAAAAATGAGCCAATCTCACACAAGATTATCCCAGAATTATCCTCTTCTGCTAAATTAGCTGCCTCATGGCCCATCTTACACTGAACATTGTTCACACAAGAGAAAACTGATGCAAAACCAAATCTCTCTCTATCTAGAATTAGCTATTCCAAGCACTTACATGCAGTGAAATAAATACATTCATATCCATGATGCCAGTCAGCCCTGAAATCAATGGAAAACCCAGGAAGTGTTGTTTGAATCAGCTATTTTTAAGGACTGGGCTTTGGAGGGGGAGCAGTGTGGGCTGCAGCAGCCCCAGAACTACAGGCAGGAGCCAGAAGAAGGACAGGGATGAGGGAAGCTCAGCACAGACTGAACCTTCCAGAATATTTTAGAAGATGTGAATGCAGAAATAATGTAATTAAACCCACGCTTGCATCAGCAGATGGACGAGGAGATGTAAAGCACAGTGCTGTGAAACAGACAACGCAGGTTGTGAGGGGTGGGCTCCTCTCAGAGGGGCCCAAACGCTGCTGGGAAGAGAGAGGTGGAAATTCCTCCCTTGGAGCAGCACTGAGGAGGGCACATCCACCACGCTGCTTTTCAGAGAGGTTTCACAGGGATGACCTTGAGCCTCTTTAAAAGGTCACCAAGGTCTGGGGTGGGATCTGAGCCCACTGGGACACCCCAGTGTCCCCACACAGCCCTGAGCGCCTCCGGGCGCTTTCCCTGCCCACCCTGCCTCCCTCACCCACCTTACCCCAGCTCAGCCGCTGTCCCTGGGGTGTCCCAGCTGCTCCAGCTGCTCCAGCTGCTCCAGCTGCTGGGGCTGGAGCTGGTTCCTGCAGGGCTCGTTGCAGTTCTGGTTTCCTGTCCCCTGTGAATCACCAACCCCAACATCCGCTGCCCGGCCCCGAGAGGCGACGCCTGCACAAACCCACCGGGGTCACTTTGTCTCCTGTGGGGAGAGGAGGAGGCTTGGGCAGTGTGGGACCACACACAGCACTGAGCTCACTTCCCTTGAGCTTCAGATGCTCTTGGTGTGCCCCACAAAAGTTGGGGCTTCCCTTCAGCAAAGAGCCTGCACGGGAATGGCGCTGAGCGCTGGAAGCGGCAGGTGCTGCCAGGAACAGCTCAAAGCAGGCACAGCAAACTGCAATCCCTCTCTGGGGTTTTTGGAAAAGATGGGGACAATTACAAAGGCAGCAAACAGCCTGAGGTCACTACTGCTGATGGCCAAAGCTGCAGCTCCAGTGCTGTAAGAATAAAACCAACTCTAACGCTTCAGCATAATTGGCACAATTTCACTGCTCTCCTAAAAAAAGTAATTCCTCAAATGTTTTGGTGCTTGAGGGCTCATGAATTCCCTCTTGGGAATTTCTGTATTGGCTTAAAGCCCTGTCCCAGTCCATGACACAGGGATCCTGCTCCAGCACTAGGGAAGTCTGCACACACCCATCAATGTGTAGTTGTACAAGGGGCACACGAGTTACAGCCGTAAAGAAAACGTTTCATGCTGCTCTCACTAAGGCTCTACAAAGCCTCTCTTACATGTAAATTGTTCAGTAAAGGGAAATTTCGTTATATTTAAATTAGGGCAGCCACCTACACCCAGCTCTCTGTGCAAGAAGGTGACTCTTCATCAAAAAAATTATTAAGGAGCCAAGAGGTTACGATTTTTGCAACTCTGGGATGAAATCTGGCTATCAAACTTTCAGAGGAAACGTTGCTTCAATAAGATAATTATCCACTGTATGTGCAAATAGACTTTCTGTCTTCCAATTCTAACCTGAGATGCAAAAATAATGCACATTCCAGAGCCATTCCCAGACAAAATCTGGCTGCTGAAGCCTGTCTTGAAATCAGTATAATCTGAACCAAAGCTATAAAGAGGCAGACTCAGCTTTTAATTTCTCACATGGTTTCTGGGTGGTCTCTGTGTAAAGGACATTGCAAAATGTGAAATGTTTTTTTCACTGCCAAAAGAGTTGTTACAAAATTGGTATTTCTAGCAGAGGTCTTAGCAATTATAGTTTATTAACAGCTTTCTAGCAGGGTTTTTATATGTTCACACATAAGCTGACAACAGAAGTTTTGCAAAAGAGTTCTTTATAGCAGAACTGATACTGAAAATATGCTGGAGACATTTAAAGTTCATCTTTTGTACCCAAAATCATTTTCATCAGGAAGAGCCACTGCTAAAAGGTGCCACATATTTGTTTACAGGTTCTCTGGTGGGTCTCAGCTCCAAGTGAGCCTCAGTGCTGTGGTGTGGACATTGTCCTGGCTGCCTTGGGCTGCACCTGGGGTTAGTCCCCAAATGTCCCCTGAGGGACCACTCAGCCTCTCCAGGGCAGGCAGAAGCTGCTCCTGTGCCCAAGCAGTGGCACAGCAGGGTCACCCCAGGGTGATGCAACAGCCCTTGGGCAGAGTGGAGTCCTCTGGAGAGGCCAATCACCCTGGTTGGAGGGTGATTACTGCAGCAGCCCACACCTCTCTGTGGATCCCATCTCCCTCATTCACATTTCTCCCAAGAAGGGCTGCCTGTAAAGGTTTAGGGTGAGTCCTCACCCCAAACACTTCCCAGCACAGCCACAGGTTCTGCTCTTCATGAGGCCAGGCCAACTCTCCTCCAACACACACAAAATGGTCAAACCCAGCTTGGGCAACCAGGCTCTACCCTCCTGAAACCCCTCTGCCTCATCCAGCCCTGCTGCTGGAAACAAGTTCTGATTTGACAAAAGGAGCAGCATGTTTTCACCAACTGCAATAAGTTATAGAAACACCACATTGTAATCTCACCATTTGTGTTCTTTTCAAAGCTCACCCATTTCAACTTGGGTTTGTTTTCCCCCCTATAACAAAGTTCCTACTCCTTCAGGAAGGTTCACCAGTTAACCTAATCCACTTTTTCACCTTTTGATAGAAAGCTGACAAGCTGCAGAGAGATCTCTTGGGTCTGGAAAACTCATCAGAACCCATCTTCTACTGGGCTCAGCTCACCTGGTCCTGGGAAGCCAAATGTCCTGAGAGCTGATCTACATTCTTTCAAATAAAGGTGAGGGCTGCTCAAAGACCACCTGACTTTGCTTGAATCAGCTGTTGTGACTAACACTGGTCAAAAATCAGTAGTGAAACAAGGACTGGAAAACAAGGCATCATCCAAACCCCTTCTTCTGCACAAACACACCCAAGCTGGAAGGTTTGAGAAAGCTCCAACATGTTTTTTAAGCTCCAACAGGCTCCAAGCTCACCAGCCTTGCAAGCCAAGCATTGCTGTGCACCAGCATCCAGCCCCTCTTGCTCTGGGACAGAAGGAGCTTGTGTCTCATCCCAGCCACTAACTGGGATTAAAGTGCATTCCATTTGTTTAGCAGCATTTTCACAGCAGCTCAACTCAAGCCACATCTTGGAGGAAATTTTTTGCTGTGCTGAAGTGGTGCTGGATGGTTTTGTATTCACCAAGAAACTTTTCTCCCTGCTGGAGTGGAATGAGCTCCTCCCAGGCAAAGGGGAAGTGCTGCCTCCTCCCCTGCCCCAGCTGCACGTGTGCTCTCTCTGAGCTGAAACTGAAAGTGGCTCCGTTCCTGCTGAAGGAAAATAAATGCTGCTACCCAGTGGAAAGTCATCTCACAGCCAGGATGCCTGGGTGCTTCACAAAACTTTGGCCAAGCAAACTTTGCAAAGAGTAATCCCAAACATCCCTCTGGTACAAAGCTTCCCTTTCTTATCCTGCTGAGTTCATCCTCGTGGACACAATAATCCTTAAATTTGAAGACAAAAACCTAGAAGGTTTGAATGCTTTTATTTGAATTTTTATACAGCAATACAAATTATACAGATTTGTTACAGTACAGATTTTGCAGGGGTTTATAGAGGTACTTTGTGAGTTTTTGGTTTATTTAAAAGAAAGAGGCAGATCTCGGGAGCACGGTGACATGAACAAAACAATCTCGTGGTAGGAGGCAAATCCTGACCACAGGGAACACTAACCTGGCTGAAACCTACTGGGCAGAAAGGTGGTGGTAGCATTCCCAGCACTAACATCCCAAAAACATCAACCCTGGGATACTCTAGAGCTTTACACAGGAATTGGTGAGCACACAGGTAAGAGGGTTGTTCCTGTAACAGTGCTGAAAGTCCTCGAAGCCCTTGGATGCACTTTGCTGCAGAGGGGACAGAAATGAGGGAAACTGATGTCACACTGAACCTGCTGCTGAGCAGGTGATGGCACAGAACAGAGTTGGAAAAGGGAACCAGAAAATGCTTCAGATTTAGTCAAACAGGTACAGTGAGATGAGGAACACAATTTCAGATCTAATAATGCTGACACCACGTGCCCACCGAGACACCACCAGAACCTAATGGCTCGTGTCTTGTGTCCCCCTTGGGTTCCTGGGAGCACACACAGGAGAACAGCAGAGCTTCCCTGCAGGCCCTAATGCACAGGAGAGGGGCTGAACATAGAATGCCATCAAGGTATTGCTATTACTAATGTGCATCAGGCTTCAGAGTCAAGTGTCTGGCACTGAAGGATTAAAGCCTTTCAGCAAGCAGGGTCAAAAATATGATTACACCATCCTAAATGCTTCTATTCAGTTTGGTTTAATACTGCTACAGCAAGTGCTATCACAAACAACAGAATAAATTACAGATTATATAAATAAAATGTATGCACCAAATAAATGATGTCTCTCTGCCACTTATAATATACTTCATTCCTGCAGTGGGTAAGAGACATTTGAGAGGAAGGAGATGAGAAAGTTCCACTCTCAGCTAGAAATCAAATTCTTTTTCAGTCACAGAAACTCCCCTTTCTAAAAATTTAAGACAAGCAACACCAACTAAATTGCATCCCGAGAATCCATCCCAGGGAAGCCCTTGAGAAGTACAAAGGTAACTGGATATTCTACACTAGAATATGCTGGAATAGGCAAGCAGTCCCTTTCCTGCAGAGCCTTTGCACTCCACTGGTAGTGAAACACAAACCATCAGAATGTAAAACATCAACTTAACACAGATTTCAAGATGCTCAGTGTTAACAGCTCCTCTCCCCTGCTCTTGCTGTGAGTGCAAATAACCACCAGACAGCTTCTGTGCACAGAGAGGGGATGGGGTTGGCACAGAAAACCTGTGACTGTGCCTTGGAGCCACCTGACACACAGAGCCTGTGTCCAGAACACACCCAGGGGAACAGGGAGCTTCCAGCAAAGTCACTCCAAGCAGATTTGTCCAAAGCAGGCAGCAGGACAAGGGCTGCTCTGCAAGCTGCAACATGCCAGCACTCTCTGGTTGAAGAGGTTGCACATATATTCCAAAATTTGCTGGCTTTAGTATTAAATCTTTCCTACAAAGAGGAAGGGTTGCAATATTACAGGATTTGCTCTAAAATTCTCACAGTTTTTGCAGCTTTCCTGAAGACAAGTCAGCAGCCAGTACTACAGGTAGCAAATGCTTCTACTAGACTATGTACTAAAGTCAGGATTGAAACTCTAACAGTGTTCTTAAGTTAGAAGTATCAGTATTATCCAAAACTGCCCTGAGACAGCAAGCTTGGCCACAATCATCATCAGCCCTGGGACACCTGGAGAAAATCAGAAATTCAGTCAGCACAGGAGATTCAGAGCAGACTGGTGAGCAAGTTGCTGCTGCTTTAGGAAGGTCAGTAAGCCACACTTGAGGGCACGAATTTAATGTGACTGTACCATCACCAGCCCATTACTGGAGTGTGTGAACACTCCTCCTTCTTCAGCCACCAGAACAACCCTGACAGCCACAAAGAGCACAAAGAGCCCCCTCAGAAGTTGCTCCAGGCTTGCACAGCCCAGTGAGTCAGCAACACACCCGTGCCAGCACTGGGTGCTGCCCTGAGGGCTGGGATGAGCTCTCCCAAGGGCATTCCTGGGCTCAGGAGCTCAGTGGGGGTTATTTTTTGCTGGTTGACAGCAGAGTTTTACAGCACATTAAATGCTACTGTCCACTGCTGCAGGGTCCAGCAGCTCTTCCAGACTCCCACCTTCCCCACTTGCAGCCAAACTGGAGTAACATGGCAAAGCACTTCTACAGTAGCAAAGCAAACTTGGCTTCAGTTCCAAAACCTGCCTGGTGCCTTCCTGCCTTCAGTTTTGTTTATTTTTCTAAGTTTAAGCTGGAAGAAAGCACTGCACAGCTACCAGAAATAACTCAGTGAGAGCATGAATAGCCACAAAGTGAATGATCCATTTGCTACACTGCTGGTACCTCCTCAGTCTGAGCTTTGCCATGCCAGGCTTAGCTTTAAGCAGCAGATAAAGTTAAGCACCACAGGTTAAACCTCTACAGCATTTCCTGGTAGGATGGGAAGAAAATAATCTTGCTTTCTCCTACAAAACTTAAATGCCACATCCATATATTTAATATAATTAACTGTTAAACAAAAACTGGTTTGATAAGCTTCTGTACAGGAAAATGTTCATCCACTGAATTTTTGAAGGAGGGAAAGAAAAAGGACTGGAGGAGTCTGACCCTGAGCCACATAGGAAGCACAGTGTGGAATGCTCCAAAGAAACCAGGCAATGCATTAATGTTTGCAAATGAAAAACTCCTGAAAAAAAAAGAAAGATGACACGATGATTTTGGATCAGGCTGCATTCACTAGTGGGGAACCCTTAACCAAAGCAGTATGAGCAGATACAGAAAAAGTCATCTGGAACTAAGATGACCCATTTGCCACCTCTCTCACTCATCAGGGATCCTTTTCCCCATGCAGTGATGAAATCCCTGCTTCCAGCAGCACCAGTTTGGCAGAGCAGCTGTGGGTAAGTGTGGCAAGAGCTGCAGGGGACCAGCTCTCATCCAGCCCTGCTCTTCCACCCTCCTGAGGGTGACAGGCAGGACAGGCAGGGGCTGCCACACCCAGCCCCAGCCCAGGACTGGGACTCTGCTCAAGCTGAGCCAAGAGCAGCTCTAAAGAGAGGATGGACTGAGTAGCTGGAAGCAGGAACACTTTCCATCCTTTCAGGCTATGGAAAGCTGTAAAACCAGCAGGGAGGTCAGAGCTCATTTCCTCAATAAAAACACTGCTCTACCTCGTTCAGCTTCTCCTGCAGTGCATTAAAGCACAGCCACAGCCCCAGGGCAGCAGCCTCCTTAACCAGGAGGGCTCCTGGGAAATGGGGCAGCTGCAAAAGGCTGGAGGAAGTTGGCAAACAGCAGCAGCTGATCCATTCACTGTCTCAGCACTCACACTGGAAGGACACAGCCTGCCTGGTGCTGGCACAGGGCAGCAGCACCCACCTGGAGGAGCACAGCCTGGGCAGCTGCAGACCTGCACTCTGCAGGAATTCCAAATCCCACCTGGCAGCCTTAGCAATGCACTCAAGTGACACTGAAGTCACAGGACAAAGAAGTTGGGCTCATTTCCACCCATAATTAATTTTTACTTCACTGTTCCAGCACTCTTTAGATTAGATTCCTCCCCTTTATCTTTTCCTCTTCCCCCCCTTATTTTGTATCAGAATGGGACAAATTAACACAATATTTGAAAACTCAGGGGGGGAAAAACATGGTAGAGTAGACTCAAATAAAGACCAATGTTAAATATTACTTAATGTTTTCTTTTATTTAAAAGATCATTCACAAAATACCATATCCATAAATTTATTTTGTTATGAAGCAGAATGTGCTAAGTGTTTGGAATTCTTTTTTTTTTTTTCCTTTGTTTTTACATTTAAAAGTCAACTGTCTTGACTAGAAGTGAGTTTTTTTTTATATGGGAATTTGTTCTTAAAATCTTTTCCACATTGAAGATGTAAATAGATCAATTATTGGTTTGGAATACAACCACACAAATGCATGTCTGTCTTAAATTAAGTATTAGTGTTAGACAAATGGTTCTTATCTCAGAAGCAGATTAAGTGAAAGGCAGAAAGAAGGAAAGAATAGTTCTGTAAATTGCTGGGACTCTGACTTACAGTGGGAACCTTAGGGAAGAAATTCATCACTAGCAGTGGTGCTGGTAGTGGGGCAGCCGTGCTTCCAACCTCCTCTTGTAAGTACTCTGGGGTGCTGGCTGGTTTATCTGAAGGCTCTCAGCACTGGCAATGGGGGCCCAAGCTTTTCCCATACACTGGACATGTCCAAACTTCAGTGTGGTAGAACCAGGTTTTGGTTTTAAAAATTAATGATCTCTCCTTTTGCTTCAGCCTCCCCTCCCTCCTCCCACACAACACTGACAAGAAACATTTCAAGGGAAGAGAGGTGTAGTAACAAGAGATGCTTTTTACCCCAACTTCTACACGAGAATCTATAGCAGAAAGATTTCTAATCTGCCCATTTTCAAGGTATTCTGAAAGCTGAGGTCCTAGAACTGTACCCAGCTGGGCAAAGAAATACAGGGGATAGTGACGATCAAATACTGCATGGCAAAGTATACACTCCTTCAACAAAAATAAAAAAGTCAATTTTATTTGTAGAAACTTCATTTAAAAATTTACCAAACATGTAAAACCCAAAAAAGTAAGCAGAAAGAGCCAGTGAGCAGTTGTGCTCAAACAGGCATGGCTTTGCAGCACTAACCTTGAGCTCAGAGTTGTAGTAGCATCATACCATTTGGAAGTCAAGAGCCAGCAGGAAGAGGCTGCTGGCAGAGGCTTTATCCATACTGATTCCACCAGCTCTTCACCAGGCTTGCCAGGCAAGGCATCCATTAAATTGATCCCTCCTGGCAACCCATGTGAAAGGGCAGCTGCCCCCCTTAGTTTCATAAGGGGCTCTGCTGTGAACAGTGACTATCACCAATTGTCATAAATGGTATTTCACTACTTGGTTAGAACTGTAAATTTCTGTTCAACTCATCTGGACTCTTCAGTTTTCCTCTTCAGAGCCACAGCAATACAGAACGAGACATGCAAGTCAGAAGAGGAACACTGAGGAAGTAAAAGGAAACAATACAGGGAAATAACTAAGTCTAACCTGTGCTTCTAAAGTAAAACAAACCCAGAAAGGAAGAAGTGAAGCAGCACCTTTGTCCAGAGACCTCCACACTTGTGGAAGCAGCCACACTGCCTTATCTACTGGCAACTGTGCTGCTTGGAAGGAAACAGAAGAGGGAAACTCAGCACAAAGCAGGCACTAGATACAGCAAAGCCAAGAACGTACTAAAAACCACTTGTTAACAGCTGACATGCATTCACAAGCTCTGTGTTTTCGGTTTCAAAGAGGACAAATACCAGATGGCAGGAATGGTAAACTGCAGGGTTGACATTCCAGCAGAGCTAGTCACTCTGTACTGTCTTGCTTTTTCTCCCGCCTCCCCATTCCCTCTCAACCCCAAACTCAGTCGTGTTCTTTTACTACTTCCTCCCGGGGCTTGGCTCCTCCGAAGATGGCAGAGTTTGGATTGGCTACTTGATTGAGGGGAGTATCGACTGTTCGAGGTTTGAGCTGGAGCCGGGGTCGCTGTGCTCGCTCCTCTGCAAGGGAAAACATTGCACTTGTGAGATCTGCCTGGGAAGGGCAGGAGCTTCAACTGACAACAAAACCAGGAGTCTCCTTTGAGGAGGAAGAGCAAGGCACCACTAAAGGGAGGAGTTTACCTTCTGTTGGCTCTCTGAAGTCCATGGAAGAGCCACGGAGGGGAGGCCCATCTCTGAAGCGACCAGTGCCACCGCTCCCCATGGAGGCACCTGGCGGCCGCCGGTCTCCAGGGCGGGTTCCTCTACCCCGACCTCCCAGGAAGTCATCATCTTTGAATCCTGAAGATGGAAGACAGTGAATTTAAAGAGCACCTTTTGCAATGTATTTAATCTAGATTTATCTGGATGACTGGAAAACCTTGCTAGTCACCGCTGTCAGTCCAAGGTGGTTCACTGAGAGCCTTTGTCTGCAGACAGATTGTTTCACAGAGCTCTAGCACCTTCTGGAGGAGCTGTTCAGTTCCATTTGAAACCAAGGACACTATGCCAAGTTCAGAAAGTGCTTTATCCACTTAGAGATTTATTGGTGTGTTGGAGAGTGGGTCAAGTAAGTTTAAAATATGAACCTTGGCTGCAACTTGAGTTTGTTAACAACATTAGTTGAGTTGAGAGACAGCACTACAGAGTAGTACTCAGACAGTACTCAGAGTACTTCCATAGCCAGATCATCACACTGGCTACAGCCCTAGCAGGAAATCCACAGGAGCAAACTGGAAAATAGCTGGGGAGTAGTGAAATGCACTTATAAAACAGAGTAAAGCCCCAGGGTTGCTTAGCTGTACTATAAACTGGCCAGGCATTTACTAAATTAAAGAGCTGGGGAAAAAATAAAATATAATTAAAAAAAAACCCCAGACTTTAAACTGACTGCATTTCTTCAGTTTATGTATCACAATAAAGAAGTGAATCAAGAACTATCTGTCACTGACCAGAGTTCCAGTCTGTACCAGTGATTACCCTTGAGTATCTGTGCAAGCCCCCACTGCCTGGGAGTGGGAGGAGAATACTTCAGGCTATCAGCATACAGAATACACTCAGATTTTCAGAAGCTGCCTGGAAGAGAAAGTTGTTTGGTTCCCAAATGAGATTTTCCTTTCCACTTCAGTATTTGGTGGAGTTGCAGAGCTGTCCCTTACTTACTTCAGTGCCAAACAAGCCATCTTTAAAGACTTGATCTAGAGCAAAGCTGTACAACCTGAGAAGAAAAGCTTTTGTAGCAGCTAAGACTGAAATGCTAAACTTTTGGCTCATGAATCACTCATCCAGCATTTAACAGGCTGAAATGCATCCACATTTGGAGAAGCTGCCAAGGAAGGTATGAAGCTGTGACACAGAATGCTTAGCTCCAAAGGCAGGTTAAGCACAGCACTGCAGCAAGCTCCTCTCTCCAGCACCATGCTCCAAAATCCATGCTGGGGACAAGGGCACACTTTGCTTCTCCTGCATCCTTCATTCCACTCACGCAGAGACCAGACATTGCAAAGTTGTACTTGCCAACATCTCTCCATCAGAAAATGGACCAAACCCATGAGTTCAGAGGACAAAAGCAATTGTGTAATGCCACCCTGCATTCTAATAGCTGGAACTGACTGGAAGTTAAGAGCAAACCCAGTGGCTCTGTCACTGCCTCCACTCAGCAAGCTCAGTCCCTTGCTGCAGCTGCATTACCAAAACAGGTCTGAAAGCTCAGGAACATTTTGCATTTACAAGTGCTTTGGAACACTAATCTGACTTTGGAGAAGTCAGTTACTTCAGGGACACACATATAATGACATCACATCTCCTTGAGAAGATGAAAGCCTCTGCTCTGACAGAATATCAGCCTTCCTGCATGATCTGTCTGTTTCTGCTACTATTCAGAAATTTACTTAGTTGTATGCTTGAGAAATGCTTAAAACAGTCACTCATAGGCTACACCTGGACAAGAATTCTGTCATTTATGGCCATTTCATAGAATCTTCTATGGAGACATTATTCTATTTGCTCTCAAGGCAACAGAAGATTCCCCATGAGGAATCTCATCACAGCTGCAGGATGTCCAAAGTTGGTACATACAGAATATTCAATCAAACCAGTCATGGTGACAAATGAAAATGAGAACATTTCAGTGCCTTTTAGGCTTCCTTTCTGTATAAGTGTTAATACTGATACCAGAATTGAAGTCATCTCTGGAATCCCATCCACCTCCTCTGGATTCTCTGGAACCTCCTCCCATTCCTAGGAAAAAAGCCACAATTGTGTTCAAGTCTGAAGCTGTGGGAAAGACTGAGCAAGGGAATACCAAACCAATGTTTCAGTCCTTCAATATTCAAAGTTATGCTGCTGGAAAATCCTTTTCTTTTGGTACAACCAAGTTCCATTGCACAGGAACAAACAGTCAGTTTAAGTTAACCAAGAATGAGTGGCCAGAAAAGTTTCTTTAGTACACATTGAGTGGAAACCTCTGGTGAGTCTGATTCAACCAACCTTCAACTACAGGCAAGAATGTTTTTACACTGGAACAAGAGACATACTCCAAAATTAGCTCTTGTCTACATGTGCTTACTCACTTTTCATACATCATCATAAAATAGTAGCAGATCAGACTGTTGGGCTTATGACTGTCCTCTGCAAGACACAACACATTAGGAGGGGTATTGGTCTCACTTCCTGGGTTAGGAGTGACAACACATCCAGCCTTTGGACACAAAGCACAGCTAAATTTCAGACACCTCAGGAGCGGCAGCAGCAGCTGGTTAGAAACACATACATATTTACATACAAAATTTCACCTTTCAATATCATCTTCATGTTCACTTGCATGCCTTGTCTCAGCATTAGTCAGCACCAGAAGCCATAACTACAACCATCATATTTAAGAAGCTACTTAGAAAAATGGAAGTCACCTCTGTCATCAGGCCCGCCACCTTTTCTGAAGCCAAAGCCACCTTTATCCTGTTTCCTGCCTTCTGCTATGTCCACTCGGAGTGACCGGTCACCCAAAAGCTGTTAAATCAAGGGGAGAGTCTGTTCAGGATGTATCAAAAGGGCTGCCAAAGAGTGAGAGACTTCTGCTTGTCTTGGATTTCACAAATTAATTGCAAGTGTACTTACTGCACCATCGTATGTAAGAGCTTCCTTGAGTGACTCCACCTCATCGAACTCTACGTAACAAAATCCTGTAAGAAACAAATCTCAAGTTAACAGTGCTTTAAAAGGCCTCTGTGAGAGCTTACTCCTCCTGCATGCCTGCTAATGCTTCCTTCTCTTTTAAACATGAGTTGTGATGAGCACATACAAGATGCACATGGCTCAGAAACCAATCATCATCAACAATGAACACATTTACCTGCACCTGTTAATGATGGGGCAAATCCTGAAACAGACCTCTGGGCACTCTGTGAATGCCAAGAGTCTAATTCTCTTTTTCACAGAGTTCTCATTATAGATTAGCTCTGATCTATGCCTTCAGACAGCTATTCAGCTGAATATTGACACTTCATTCCTAGAGCTTTTAAACAATAAATTTAAATACCTATGTGGTCAGCAGTGTGATTTTGTGTCATCACATCATTTAGTGGATTTACTCCTTTTCAAAGGCCCTCTGTTATCCAAGGTAAGCCTTTTCCATCCCTCAAAGTAACTCACAAATATAGTCCATTTTCTCCAAACAATTCCCATAGCAGTTGAATTTGCATCCTCTAAAACAACTGCCTGAATGGGTTATCTACTTGCCTTTTCTCCCTGTCTACTAAAAAAAGACAAGAGCTGGAGCAATGAGAATCTTCTGATGTAAAAGAATTAAATCCTATGACCTTAAGTATGAGTAAGTGGGTCAGCTCTGGTAGAATTCATACCAGACAAGGTTTGAGAAAGTTCTGTTATGTCAGTGCAAATATTGACTCCTCACTCAGGTTACTCTGTATCTCTGGATGATGAAACACTGACTCTCATTCAAATGATACACTTACACATTATCAGTGAATAAGAAAACATGCATAAGTCAACATAAAAGCAGAAAACTGTGCTTTAGACTGAAATTCCCTTTTAAAGTGACTTTTTTTCCTACTAATTTTTCATCTACCTCCAAAGAGCTCTGAACACTCACCTTTAAATTTGTCTGTTTCCTTGTCTCTGACTAGTCGTACGCTCCTTATGCTGAGATCCTTGAAAATGGCATCTATGTCTCCTTGGACAGTGTTGAAGGGCAGATTTCCCACATAAGCTGTGAAAGGGGGTTCTGTTGGCAGCTCTTTATTTCTGCGGGAACCAAGGCCACCTCCACGAGACCTGTTGGGAAAAGCACGGTGCCTCTGGAGCTGCACAGCACAGCTGCTCCTTGCTGCAGCCCTGGCCCAGCTGCTGGGTTTAGCTGCAAGTCCATTTTCCCACAGCTCTGCTCAGTTTTTCTGTCCTTCTGCCTGTAGCTGCCACCTGAAGTGCTGCTCAACTCCTTTCCAGTATTACCTGATGCAGTACTGCAGTGGGAAATGAACACATTACCAGGTGAATTCATGAATGAAGTGATGAATGAACTTTTAAACCCACAATTCATTAAGGAAAGCAACCTAAGGTTACCTCTAATGTCCCCTGCTCAAAACATTACCTCTAAAACACCCCATCTTGGAATTGATGTTAAGAGTAATTTATGGCAATGAAGAAATACTTGTATGGCACAGGTTTGTCAGCTTATCTGGAAATTAAGCTGGATCCAATGCTTTTATCTAAAGAGTATATTATCAACACCCACTCCACAACAACCCAAATTATCTCAGCAACATTTAACTTAAGAGAAACACCTTCCCCTAATCTGAAGCTGTGGCCATAATTGTTGAATATCTGGACTGGAATGCTTTGAACTGAACACAAAATAAATTTGGTTGAACAAGGGGTTCTGAGGCAGAAAAAAAATCACATGCTCTGTGGATGCTTACTCCTTTTGTCTTCTGAATTACAGAGGTAAACTGGGTGCTCTTTTCCTGTGTTGTCCCTCAGTACCAGTGAAACTCTTGGCACTGTGTGCTGAGGAACTAAATGGTACCAGCTAAATTCTTTACTAATGTAACACATCTGTGTGAACTTCCTGCAGAGCCCAATCTTCAGAAGCCAACTTGGAATTTCTGTACAGAGAGCAAGGTACATACAAGGCAACCTGAGGTCAAAGCTTCTAGACTTGTAGACTATAGGATTCCACTGGTCCAAACACCATTTGTCCAACATAAGCAACCTCTGACCTTTACCTGAAATATCTACTTATTACTCTGTCCATCTTCCCTTTATCACCTCCCTTCTACTGGGCTTTGCTTGTGTCTGTTCCCTTTCCCTGAGGCTCCCCATGCATTTAAAACCACGGTGGAACACAACCTGTACCAAAGCAGGATTTGCCAATCTGACATGGACCAATTAAATAGCTGCAGAGTCCTTCCTAAAATCCAGAAGGTCAAATAATTTTATCATTTCCTTTTATTCTGGCTGGTTGAATGAACTCAAAAAAATCCATTGGGCAAGCAAGCAAGGTCCTTGACAGTATTTTTTTCATTCAAGAATAAATATTTTACTACTAATGAACCAGATAATACATTAAGCTTGAATAAGATTCCTTAGCTCTCTAGGTGAGCCTGTCATTTGTGCCTTATTTAGCAGCTCCATGCAAGAATCATTTGTCACCAACACTATCAACATGCTGCTAAATCTACTTGAACCACAATCTACATATCTTTAATTAGCGTCCACCCAGGTTTGCATTTTAGCATTTCTGACAATATTCCTCATCTGCCTTTGTCTCATTAACAAGTCAAAAACATACTGGAGAAGTAAAGCTGTAATAGTTTTAAATTACTTTAGTCAGAAGGCTGAGTTTTAAGGAAGAACTCCAAGAAAGCAGAGTTGCTGTTCTAAATAATCCCAAAATACATAGAATCAGTTCCATGCCTTTGTCCTCATTTATCATTTACAGCATTAGGAACAGCTATTAACATACCATACATTTAACTTGCATCCAAGAAAGAAAATCTTCATGTTTATGTCCTCCAGGAAGATCAGAATTGAGTTCCAAAGGAGCATTCTCTCCTTGTAGAGATGCTCAGGACATTCCCTGAGCTGCCAGTCACCTAAAAAACCAGCCTGGAGTTGAGTCCATGGCCAGACCAACAAGGTGATCAGGACAGCTGCAAAGAGCACTTTGCCAGCTAGGAATGAGAAGGGGAACAAGGGCTGGAACTACCACTTCCATCAGCTCCATCTGAGCCACTTCTAAAACCACACTCTCAATTCCCAAAAGGATTTTCTGTAGAAAGCAAACCTCCTTTCTACCATGGGCTGCATGTGTGGAAATCCATGCCCTATTGTGCAATCCAGACTGATTTTAAAGCCAGAAAATTAAATAGGCTTCTCCAATTTGATATTAAGACTTTGGTTATCAAATATATAACTATACCTTTGGTATTTAGTTTCCATTTGAAGAACAGGCATGGTCAATAACTGAGTTTCAAACCAAGTTTCTTATGGAACTCAGGTACAGCAACAGAAAAAGAAACTGTTTCTGTACTTCCCTACATTTTTTCCAACACTGAAACAGTAAAATAAAAGAAAAGGGCTGACTTCAGTAACTAAACAATGAGATTGGAAGAAGATTCTCTCATTTGCAACAAAGTAGGACAAAAGTAAAAAAATAATTGAAAACACATCTGAATTAGGCAAATGATTGAATGAATATCTGCACTTCCCACTCTAAATTTCTGCTTAGACACAATTAGGTAATAATAATTATTATGTCATCTTACTGTGAGAATCTGAAAGACATGACTTGATTTCCTTGTCAGAAAACCAAAGCAGAAAGCTGAAGAGGAAAGCTTGCTTCTAACAACAGCCCCATAATTTAACTTTGGTTACTGAGTTAATTACTTTGGCCATATTGGGTAGAAAACAACTCAACTCCCATTTTGCAGCTACTCTTTGCAAAGTTCAGTTAGGTCTCCAGAAAAGATCAGCCAGAAGTTCAAAATGAAGGCTGTTTTGAAAGCCAGTATCTGAGTTAAAGAGCCTTTCCCTAGAGATCAAAGCTCAAGATTTGCCTTTTGCACAGCACAGAGACAATGGCCTACCCTGGGTTTGACACCTGAGCTCTTCTGGGCAGCACAAGGATTAGCAGGGTGACAGTGCCAACCCCCCAGGACCACTACACCAAATTCAAACCCAATTTATTCCAGCAACCAGGACATGTCTGGAGTAAGTATCAGATGTCTTCAGCAAAATGCTTACCCAAGCCTAAAAATGAGGAGATACCTTTAATGCTAGATGGGTAAGACAGAGGATGCAAGCTGCCAGAAGCACAAGGACCAACTCCCATTTCCACTGAACTGTGCAGCACTCCAGCAGGTGAATCTGAACCTTTAGCAGGGTGCCCAGCATTTCAAGCCACACCTAAATAAACAGCCTGGCAGTGAGTTAGGAGTGGTAAACAGTCCCCTTCTTGCAACTCTGAGAAGCTCTACAGTTTCAGTTTCAACTAGGACTTGGTATACTTACCTACAGGTTTTTCTGTCACATTTTGGGCTCCAAAATACTTTCTAAAAAGCTTACAGTAAAGCTTTTGTCATTTATGTCAGCATCACAGTCTTCACCAGGAATAAAGTGACTTTTTAAAGTGATTTCATAATATCCCCAAATGTTATGATTCAGCTTTTAGTCAGTGCAGAACTGAACATCTCAGGTGTAGCAAATCCCATCTCATCACACCAGTCATATCTTGATGCTCTTCCACCATTATTTTGATGATTACAAGAAAGAGGCAGATAACTTCCATATGTCAGAACCTGTTGGGCACTGATTTCCCATCTGTCACACTGAAATCCTGTGCTCACTCACTATGTACACCAAAGGTTATGCAAAATGCAACTTCAACAAAAACTACTACACCTCAGTTGAGGTTACACTGTTCCTACAGTGCCTAAAATGAGCAGGGGACACTTCAAATTATCGTGGGATTCCTTAAGCAGAACCTTCAAGAACAGTCATGTTTTCACTACACTTCATATATTACAGGACTTCATACAACGTACACAGAGAGTAAACTCTGAGTTAGCTATTAGTAACTTAATAGTGATAACGATAAATTAGATAGAAGTATACATTGGACTCTAATATTAGTAGTATCTGATGTTTAGAACTGCAGGTAAAAATTAGAGTAAGTACATTTTCTTACCTGTAAAGACATCTACTGATTTGCAGGATGCCTTTAGTTTACCAAGCAAGGATCCACATCTTCCCTGACAGCAAATTTCAGTTCTCTTACAGGAACCTGAATAATATTTTACCTGGCATTTTATTACTTCACAGAATATGCCTACACTGACTAGATACAGTGTGCAGCAATATCTGAGTTTATAGAGTCAAGTATCACTTTAGGCTGCTGGCAAGGCTATTTTGTTACAGAATTTAAAAAAAATAACAGAAATGCGAGTGGCTACATCATCTGTTTGCTCTGGGACATCTCTGAATAAGACACAAAGGGTATCAGTGCATGAAAATCAGCTTGAAAAGCTTAAAGTGTCAGAGTCCTTCCAAAGACAAAAAAAACTTACTGCTGTTCTAACTCCAGCAGCTCCTCCCTGCTGCCTAAAGAGTCTGAAATGAAACCAAGTTATTTATCTAAGAGCAGAAAACGACACGAACACACTTTTGATCAGGAAACACACCCTGGAAGATTAGATTATACAGGAACACACTTGGGAAGATTTGCTCACAAAGAAGTTTATTCCACACATTTATACCTACTGTTTTATTTCAGAGAAACTTGTCACAGCACCAGCCTCCAGAAAAATCAACTCTTTGATTGCACCTTTCTAGCTTGATTTAACACAAACTTCTAATTACGGGTTATTGTCTCTGTAGCTCCTCCCCTAAACACTCTTCAGCAAAGAGACGAGACAAGCCCGATTCCTCAGGATCAGGGATTTGCAGTCAGCACCCGGAGCCCCGGATAACGCAGGACCGCGGCTGCCGGCGCTACTCGTGCGGAGCCACCACAAAGGGCTCCCATTTCCTCCCGCCGCAGGCACCACAACGCTGCCCGCTCCCGGGGGCGCCTCGTCCCGCCAGCACAGCGGCCTCGGGCCCCGCTCAGTCCTTCGGGGACGTTCCCTCCGCCCATCCCGGCCCCGCACAGCTCCTCTCGGCCTTCCTTGGCTCTGGCCCAGCACCTCCCTAAATCCCCCCTCCACTCGCCTCCAGGACGGCGGGAACAGCGACACCCCCTTCCTCCCGCCCCTTCCCGGCGCTCCCGAGCCGCCCGGGCCCGGATCCTGCGGCGCCGGCCGGAGCAGCGCGGGCACGGCCGGGACCCCCCAGGAGCGCAGCCCCCGCCCCAGCGCACAAAGCGGGGCAGCGGAAGGGCACCCCCCGCCCCGTGGGACGGCGGGCGGGGGGCAGAACGAGCCCAAACAGTTCCCAGAGGCGGCGCTCCCGTCCCGCAACCCCCGCCCGCCATCCCCGCCGAGCGGAGCAGGCCGGGCCCCGCGGCCGCGCCCCCGCCTCGCGCGGCCGGGTCCGCTGCTCCCCGCTGCCGTCCCAGCTACGGGGGGAGCCCCGAGCGCTGCCCCCGGCCCCGCTCACCCGCGGCCGCCGCCGAAGCTGCTGTAGGCCCGGTCGTCGTAGGGATCGAAATCCGCCATCGCCGCCGCGGCCTCGTCCCCGTGCGAGCGTGACAGGACCGCGCCCGAGGACCCCGCAACGCTTATATACGGCGGCGCGCGGGCCGGGGCTGCCCCGCGCGGTGCCTGCCTCCAGCTCCCCGCCCCGCCGGGGCTGTCCGCGCTGCTGCCTGTCGGGAGGCGCACGGCGGGGCTCACTCCTGTCGGGTGTGGGACGGGATCAGCCCGGGGGTGCTGTCGGTGTCTGCTCCGCGATCTGCGCGGGATTTACCCGCGGCTCCCCTCGGGGATCTGCTCCGGATCTGCCGGAGGATCTGCCCGGGATCTGCCCGTGGATGTGCCCAGTGTCTGTCGGGGATCCCCCGGGGGTCTGCCCGGGCTGCGCTCCGGTGAGCGTCGGACGCTCCAGTGCTGATCCAGGGCCAGCCCGCGGCTCTCACTCCCCGAGCATCCCGCTGTCGCTGCGGGCAGGGATCACAGGGCTCATGGAAATGGATCCTGCTCCAGGTGTCACAGTCATCACAGTGATCACAGGGATGGATCCTGCCCCGAGGTCATTCCCTGCGCTCCCGCGCGTGTCTGGCAGCCACACGCAGTGTTCACAGGGCTGCTGGAGGATAGTGCTGGATTTTATTGCAAATTACGACAACGGGCTGTACCCGAGAGCTTCACAGTGTCCTTAAAAAATACCAGTTGTACCAGCTGATTTGTCTCCTTTTGCCAGGCCATAATTTAATGTTTTCTAATAAAACCACACCACGGATTCTCATACGCTAACCAACAGTGCCCACGCCTCGTGTCCCTGACCCTGCGCTGCCGATCCCGGCTCACTCCGCAGGCTTTGCCCCTCTGTCCCGGTCCAGCCCCGCGGGGAACAGGATCCATCCCGGATCCTGGATCGCCGCCTCCCTCCAGGGATACGAGCCGGGTGAGAGAAGCCCGGGAGCCCCTGGGGCAGGGCAGAGGAGGAGGATTGAGTCCTGCGGAGGAGCAGGGCTGGGGGCCAGGGAGGGAACGTCGCACTGAGGGGAGCGGGGTGTTGTAAAATGTGGAATATGTCAAGATTATCTTAAGTAGTAATGTTCTTTAATGTAAGATCTTTGCATGCTTTCAGCAAGAAGGAGACGCAAGCCGTGGGGCAGGCAGCAGCCAGCACCACTTACTCAAGGACATCCTGGAACTAATGAGCATTAAGGATGTAGTAAATTCGGATTTTGGTGTACATCTGTGTATACTTTGCTAATTTAGGAGAAGACTCAAGGCCCATGTATCCTATAGCTATGTTCTATGTTCATTATAATTCTAAAGACCCTGTGAAGACCCTTCCCCTTAGCATGTGGGCAACTTCTACAAGTTAGCTGAGGTTATGCAACTTGTAAATTACTAATCAATCCCGATATATGGGCAGTACTTGGAAAGTTAGTTAACTCTGAACTGAGTATAAACAATGGTGTGAAAAGCCCGGTGGGGTGTGCTGGATTTGTGGAACACCACGGAGCACCACGGCTCGCGCAACTCTGAAATAACCCATCAATGTGTCCGTCGAGTGTGTCACGACTGGCTTGCGGCACACCGGGAAAGCAATCCGAATTTGTGGGATGAGGGCTTGAGGGAGCGGGGTGGAAAGGGCAGCCATGAGGGGAGCGGGGTCTGAGGGGACAAGGGTGGGAAGGGCGGCCACGAGGGGAGCGGAGTCTGAGGGGACAGGGGTGGGAAGGGCGGCCATGAGGGGAGCGGGGTCTGAGGGGACAGGGCTGGGAAGGGCGGCCATGAGGGGAGCAGGGTCTGAGGGGCCGGGAGGCGCTAGGGGGAGCGGGCTGAAGGGTCATGAGGCGCTGAGGGGAGGGGGCTGAAGGGCTGGGGGGCGCCGAGAGGAGCGGGGCTGAACGGCCATGACGCGCTGAGGAGAGCGGGGCTGAAGGGCCGGGAGCAGCTGAGAGAACGGGGCTGAAGGGCCGTGAGGAGCTGAGGCACGGCCATGAGAGGAGCGGGCCTAAGGTGTCGGGGGGACTGAGGAGAGCGGCTCACACGGCGGCCGAGCCCGTCCCGCGGCGGCCGCGCTGCCCCGGAAGAGGCGGAGCGGGCGGGCGGCCCCACGTGCGGCAGCGGTGGCGGCATGGCGGGGATGGAGCTGGGGGAGCAGACGGAGCCGCGGGGCGGCGGCGCGGCGGTGACCGACCCCCGCGGGGTGCTGCGGCAGGGCCGCGCCTTCCTCGACTTCTTCTGGGACATCGCTAAGCCGGAGCAGGAGGTGCGGCTGGCGGCCACTGAGAGCCTCCTGCGGCACCTGCGGGAGGGCAAGAAGGTGAGGCGGGGGCCGGAGGGTGCGGGCGGGCAGTGCAGAGCTCCTCACACGGCTCATCCCTCCGCTCCCCGGGGGAACGCGGCAGTGCGGACGGGGCACGGGCCGGGCGCGGGGGTCTGGCAGCCGTGCCGCGCTCGGAGCAGCCCGGACACCTCCCAGCTCGGTCTCTCTTGCAGGATGATGAACTCAAGTACACCCTGAAGCGGCTGGTGGAGGGACTGGGAGCCACCCGCGAGGCCGCCCGCCCTGGCTTCAGCTTGGCCTTGGCGCAGGTCAGTGCTTCCCAGCGCGGGTCAGAACCGTCGGCAGCCTCTGTCCATGCTTGGGGTCACTTTTGCTCTCTGTGCAAGGCTGGAGGATTCCCTTCTGTGCACATGGGAGGGAAGGCTCTCACAATAACCGTAATTTTAAATGGTGCTACTCTTCTTTAGAAACTTACAAAGTTATGAAATATACCAATATCACATTCATATTACAGTATTCAGTCCTGCTTCAAGGACCATCCTTGATTTACAGATTTTGACCAAGTTTTCAATTATTCTGCATTTAGTACTATTACTGCTGCTTAAAACTGTTTTGCTCTTGGTCTTGGTTGGTTGATGTGGGATACCTGCCCTTCCTCTAGACCAGATTGCTCCAAGTCCAATCCAGCCTGGCCTTGAACATTTCCAGGGATGGGGCAGCAGCCACAGCTTCTCTGGGCAATCTGTGCCAGGGCCTCACCCCCTTCACAGGGAATGATTTCTTCTTAATATCTAACCTAAATTTGCCTTCTGTTAATGTGAAGTCATTCCTCCTTGTCCTGGCACTCTGGGACTCCAGAGCCCCTCTGCAGCTCTCTTGGAGTCTCTTTAGGCAGTGGGAGAAGCTCTGAGCTCTCCCTGGAGCCTTCTCCAAGCTGCACAGCCCCAGCTCTCCCAGCCTACTTCCTGTTCTAGACATCTTTACTGATCTGGTTGTCTCTATTCTGGCCTGATAAAGCAGCACGTCTGCTGCTGTGCTGAACAACTCTTCAGCTCTATTTTAGCTTAACCCAGGATAATGTCATGAAATGGAAGAACTGCAAACAGCTACTCCATCTCTCTCAGGTTTTGCAGGCTTTTGAGGAAATTCCACTGTGCAGCATTTTGGAACAGATAAAAGAAAAACACAATCTGGAAAAAGTGAAAAAAGTAAGTCAGCTCATGGCAACATTTGCCAACTGCTACCTTAAATGAATTGTTCTCTATTCTTTGAAGTCTTGGTGTATAGTGTAGTTTTGGGGTTTGTGTTAAAGCAGGTGACTATAATGAAGTAACAAATATTTCTAGAAATTGGAAGTTGACATTGTAATCTAACCCTGTTTTAGCTGAGATTTGTCACTGTGATGAAGAGGTAGTTTAGGACAGTTCTTAAACATTGTGCAGGGGGTTGCTTTTCAGTATGCTCTCTTCCCATGGTGGGATGGGGTTCAAGGCAGGATTTTCCTGCCATCTTGCTCCACTGATTGTGTAGCTGTGTGTGAGCTCTAGCCTCTCAGGAAAGTAGATTTTTACCTATTTTCCTTTTTTTTTTCCCTTTCAGAAACTTGTGAGAAATGCTGCTTTTGGGAACTTTTTTGGAGTGATGGCTCTGTTCCAGTCTGGGCGGCTTGTGAAGGTAACACTGCTGTCAGGTGTGGCAGTTCTGCTCCTGGGGCTTCTGATGTGGAAAGAGGATTGACAGAGAAAGGCTGGGCCACTGGGTAATCAGTGCAGTGGCACTTGAAGCATCAAGTTCAGTTCATTTCTGTTGTGCCATCCATGGACTCTTTGTGCCTTTTTAAAGTCTGTTCCTGAGTAGAGTGTAGGAACTGTGTCAAATAGTGCAGGAGGCTTCTACCTCTCCTGGAGGGAGGGGATCTGTTGTCATATCTGGCTGGAAAACACGTTTTTGGAAAAAGCTGAGTGACCAACAAGAAACAAAATTGTGTTTCTTATTACAAGTAGCCATAAGCATCTAAAGAGTGGATTATCAGCTGAGCCTTCAGCTGAATTTCTGATGTATGTCCTCTGCTTTTGGCTTATCTTTCCTTTGTAGGACCGGAAAGCTCTGCTGGAGAGCATCCAGCTTCTGCAGCAGCTGACAAATCACCAAACACACCTCAGAGATCTCCCACGCAAAACTCTCATTGACATCACCTCTGAGGTACAGGCACAACGTGGGGCTTGGGGCTTGTGGGCCAGGGGGAAGAGAGGCTTTGCCTTTGGGGTCAGATTTTCCTTTAGTTTGTTCATAGCTGGAAGTTATAGGGGGTGTGGAAGAGTGAGTGTGGACTGTGGGAGCTGTCCCTATATTGCCTGTGGGCAGATGCTTGTGTTCTGGGAAAGGTGCTCTGCTTTAGCTTGGTTTGACTTCATTGTGGACAATCCCACAGCCTGTTGTGTCCATTTTCACTTGCTTGGATTATGTGCTCCTTTGGACAGATGTATGCTGAAAACTCTGAACAGCAAACCACCTTTTTATGCAGCAAACCTGGGCCTAAGGTTGAACTTTGGGCTGTTGGGAATGAAATTATGTAGGGACAAGGAGTAAAGAGCTCTGAGTATGTAGTAAAAGAATAGAGTTTATTTCCTTTTTGTAAATGGATATTATTTGTAGACATGAAGACTAGCAGTGTTAAATAAAAATAGAGAGTTTCCTTGGCCCTGGGTAGCCTGGCTGTACAGGCAGAGCAGTCAGACAGCAAGAGAACAATTGCAGCTGGAGTCAGTTGACCAGAATTGCTGTCTGATGACAG